TATATATATATATATATATACATATATATATAGATATAAATATACACCCACACACTTATAACATGCCTGTCGCCAAATTAACGCGAACGAATAATCGTTGGCTCGTCGTTTTTATTCAACGAAACGGATCGAGCTTAACGAACCGTAGAAAAGTATTTCTCTTTGCCTGTGTACACACTGATAAATATATACGCACATGCACACAACAGACAAACAGATAGACAGACAGACAGACAGACAGACAGACAACCAACCTGACAGACAGATAGACAGACAGACATTTACCTAACAATGTTGCACCATGCGTCCACCTTTTTAACTATAATACACATAATACATGCATACATACATACATACATACATACATACGTACATACATTAATATAATAAGTTGCATCGTTTCCTCAGCCCCTCTTTCTCTTTCCAAACTTCTCTTCTGAGATAAACATTGTGCAGGGGGAGCAGCTGTTTCTCAAACCAGATCGCTTAGCGACGTTGAAGCATCCTAGCAAGATCGAGAAGCCACCGCAGTATACCACATTCAAGCCGGGTAACTGAAGATCCTAAATGCGCCCGTCCCCCCTACTTCTTTTCTTTTTTTAATTACTTATAAGCATACGAAAATAAAAAGTACTAGCGTGCCGAAGGAAGGAAGGAAGGAAGTAAAGAAGGAAAGAAGGAAAGAAGGAAGGAAGGAAGGAAGGAAGGAAGGAAAAAATCAAACGGGGATACGAGAGAGAAAGAGATTATTATTATTATTATTAATATTATTATTTGCTTTTACCTATATTTTCTGGTTACCTGGAACCCCGCTCCCGAACCACCCAAACCACCTAATTTAAAAATGAAAAGTACTTTTTCTCTTATATATATACGTCCAATTGAATAAAAATTTATTTTTAAATAGGAAAATATACACAAATATTTGAATATATTATATTATAATAAAATAGTGAGAGATAACGCGAAAATCAAAATAATATTCATCAAAAATTTCGATATACGTGTGTTGGTAGATAGGTACACGTACCGTGTACGTTAATTAATGAATAAATGATATAACACACAAAAGTTTAGTTATCGTAACCGTTCGATAACGAAGCACTAACATAAGAGAGAATATGTTATACGAGAGTGACACACAAGGTTACAATTATTTTCTCTTTGTCTGGTGTTTATCGGAAAATTGTTCGAATTATCGACAACCTTTCTACTCTCTCTCTCTCTCTCTCTCTCTCTCTCTCTCTCTCTCTCTCTCTCTCTCTCTCTCTCTCTCTCTCTTTCTCTCCGTAGTCACTTATTCGAGTACGTAATTAAAAGCTGCACATTTTGCTGCACCGACACAACTTTTCGTTTAGGTCGAAAAGTTTACGTGTTCCGCGTTGGAAAAAGAGAAATTCAGGTAGGTGGTAGTAACCCCTATCTCCTACCTCATCCTACCTATAGAATATCGAAACAAATTTATCTACTATCTTTTATTTACGCGCCAGGGATTCTCTTTCCCTCCCTCTCTCTCTCTCTCTCTCGTAAATCGATCGATCTATCGATCGTCGTAATAAAAAAAGGGGAAATATATTTGAAATGAAATTACCTACGCGCAATGCGAAATGTTTTTCTTTTAAAGTCACTCATTTAGAAATACATGTGGTGTATGAAATAAATTGATTGTTATACAAAACGGCATGGAAAAGGAAAAAAAGAAAGAAAAAAATAGAAATTCGAATACAGCCCCGTTTTACGGGAATGTTCATAATTAATCAGAGTCGTTAATTAATCTATCAAAAACATCTCACTGCCGACAATGTTCCAATATTATATAACAAAATGACTGACCGAGTTTCGGACCGATCGAAATGAAAAAAAAAGAAAAAATAGGGGATGTTGTTTCGGATGGCTAAAATCAAATGAACTCATGAAGGTAATTGAGTTAGTTGGACAAGTTCGAAGGGAGAACAATTTTGGTAAAGTTCTTAAATGAACATCTATCAGTTAAAATTACGATTACTTCGAACTAACACAGAGTATATAGAAATTTTACTTCTAAACGCTTACGAGACGTATTGTTAAATGAAACAATGATTTTTATCGGTTAATATTTTTATCGATATATTGTATTATTAGTAGAAACAAGGATCGTGTTTTTAGTATCGATCGTATAATGAAAGGATGCGTTAAGTGTGCGTATGCGTGTGAGGGTCTGTATGTATTTGTGTGTGTATGTGATATGCGCGCGCGCGCGCGCGCACTCTCTCGTCCGTACGTCTGTATGCGTGAGTGTTTGTTTGCGCGCGTTTATGTGTACGTACGAGAGTGCAAGAAAGAACAAGGAACAATGTGTTTCGTACTATATAATAAACTTTCTGTACAGACCGTTGTCCATATCACAAAATCTGCGCTTATTAACGCAAAAGAAATACTTCTATTTAATTTCGACTGCTGGCGATGTCCAAGCAGGTATACGAACTTAAGGAACTGATTTCCAAACCTGGCAGAAATAAATCAAATTATTAACACCCATTGTTTCGTGGAAATTTATTTTATTCATTCCCAACATTTCCTAGAGCTTACCTATTGCACAACTTTACAACGAGTTGCGCGTTGATCAAATTTAATAATATACATATACATATATAACATAAATTCTTACTGAAAGATTCTACTATTTTATTTCGAAGTAGTTATTCTTATTAAATATAACAATTTTGAAATATTTATTAAACAAATTGAATAAAGAAAGATTGCAACAAATAACGCAATGATACAAAATTTAAATATTTAGCGCTCGCCTGCTATAGGTCGGTTTTTCGGAGATAGTGGTAACGAAAAGATGAACGCTAGCCGTTGATTCGTCGAGTATGCGAGCAAATCATACGCAACCAATCAAATCATAGCTACTATTGGAGCCAAATGCAGTTGCAACGATAAGACTGAAGAGAGCGTTACTGTATCTATAGTTATTTTTCAAAGTTTATCCTTCTAATTTTATGGTGGCTATTAGTTACCTCGTGCTTGCATGTAAAAAAGACTTGATTGTAGGTTAGAGAATTGGATTGTTTTTAAATTATATTTCAAGTAAACATAAATTTCAATAAAATTGTCTCTCATTACGTTGATATAAATTTATCTTGTATTAATCATGGCGGTTCGTGTACAATTTGAAAATAACAATGAAATTGGTGTATTTGCTAAATTGACGAATTCTTATTGTCTAGTTGCAATTGGTGGTTCTGAAAACTTTTATAGGTAATTAATAATATAATTTCTTAAATTAGTTGTTTTTTTATTTTCAAAAAATTAATTACTGAGACAATAATTTAACGTAACTCTTATCAACGATAAGATCTCGCGATGACTCATCTTGCACATGACCTTTATACTAATCAAAACATAATTTGGAAAGTTATTTAATTGCAATAAAGAGATCAAAATCCTTATTATTTACAGTGTATTCGAAGCCGAACTTGCTGATACAATTCCTGTAATACACGCGTCGGTAGCAGGATGTCGTATTATTGGACGATTAAGCGTTGGTACGTACTTTTAAAAATGATTAAGTATTAAAAATAATCTTCATCAAAAGATAATACAAATGATTATTTTTAGGAAACAAAAATGGATTATTGGTTCCAAATACAACTACGGATACAGAATTGCAACACATAAGAAATTCTTTACCTGATAGTGTCAAAGTACAAAGGGTTGAAGAAAGACTTTCTGCTTTAGGAAACGTTATTGCTTGTAACGATTATGTTGCTTTGGTTCACCCTGATCTTGATAGGGTACATTTTTATAATAATATCAATTATGCAAAGATTTTAACATAACATTCATTTCATATCTATGTATTATAGGAAACTGAAGAAATTTTAGCGGATACTTTGAATGTTGAAGTATTTAGACAAACAGTAGCAAGTAATGTTCTTATTGGATCATACTCGGTTTTATCTAATCAAGGTGGTTTAGTACATCCAAAAACTTCTATTCAGGATCAGGATGAGTTATCTTCCCTGTTACAAGTACCGCTCGTTGTAAGATCAAATTTCGTTTTTATACTACAAAGAGAATATAAGAGAAAGAGTTGAAAAGTATGAAGCTAAATAAACAATATACAGATCAATTTTCAATATAATATACTTATTTAGGCAGGCACGGTCAATAGAGGCAGCGATGTTATTGCTGCAGGCATGGTTGTAAACGATTGGGTCTCTTTTTGTGGGATGGAAACAACTTCAACTGAACTTTCTGTTATCGAAAGTGTTTTTAAACTTTCCGAATGTGTTCCAGCTAATATTACATCGACTATGCGTGCATCTCTTATAGAAAGGTAATTAAATTAAGGAAGAGAAAATATTGCATATGAATGTATTATAACATAACTTTTTTTATTGTCTAACATATTTTGATTTTTTGCAGTATGTCTTAAAGAAATATAAAACCGAAACAAATTAAGCAAATTAATCCATGATATACGATAAGTGTACATATTCATAGAATCAATGTTAAGTGGATTACAAATGCACAATATGATGCAATGCTTCTTTTTTTTTGGGTACTACTTTATAATTTCAACTAGAAAACCTTTCAATGTATTAAGACGTTCTATATTAAAATTTATACAAATTCCCCACTCCCCTCCTTTTTTTATCCATTCTTTATTCATTTATATAAAAAAAAAAAGCAAAAAAATTATTGTAACGTTTTTTTGTAATAACGGACGATTTAAAATCTAAAAAAAAGATAATAATCCTTACTAATTGTATACAAGCATCCTTGAATTTACGCGAGTTTCCGTTTCACGTGGATTGTTCTTTTCTTCACTTGAATGAAAATCACGTAAATAATTTATAATTACAAAAGAAAAAAAATAATTAAAAATAAAAATTAGTACATCTTTTAGAAATACGCGTATTTAATTATATTTTTAATATTATTTTGTTATGTATATATATATTGAAAACTATCGACGAAATATATAGATGCAAAGTGGTTAATAGGCTCGAGTGATTTAAATGTCTGAATGTAAAATAAAATATTATCGAAAATCGATACTTTGTTGTGTAAGTACAATATAGAACTAACGCGTTTTAACATCGCTGAATAATCATATATAGCTTGTAATAATACATACACACCACCACAAGTTTTTTTATTGGTGTTAAAGTATACACTTGTTTCACTTATAACTTCTAAGAAAATATATTTCCTGGCTTCGTAAATTCAGATAATATAAAAAAAAAACTTGCGTAAAATCATTGACGCCTGTATACTTATGTGTTAGATAAAACAATTAAAAAAAAAAGATAATAGCCGATAATTATTATAGTTATTTGTGTGGAAATATAAATTTAAATTGCGTATTTAATATTCATGTTTAAAACCAAAAATAAAAAAAAGAATAAAAAAAAATATAGTAGCAAATAATTATTATATTAATTTTCGTGCAAAAATAAATTTAAATTTTTTTTATTAATATTCATATTCTAAACCAAAAATGAAATCGTTCTATGAAAATGTTTCATTAATTTATCAACCGGAAATTCGTAATCATTTTTAGTCAACAAGCAAAATATGTTCTCCTACTTTGTGTGAACTTTCTTTATATATATAATCATAAAATAATAATAATAATAATAATAATTAATAAAAAAAAATATTAAAAGAAACGTAATAAGAACTTTTAATAGTTACAAAAAAAAAATATATATATATATATATATATAAACAAGTTTTGAAACGTTTTTCTCATGGTATTTAAAAAATAATATTAAAATTTAATATCTATAATTTACAATATACTTAAACCTTGGACTTTATCTAAGAAATGATTAAATACGTGATAAAAGAAAATTAAATCTCAGTTTGAACAAAAGATCTAAGAGTACGTAGTAGGACTATGATGACTACTACTATACTGTAACTTTTGTTAGATACTATACTATACAACGCATTTACGCAATAAAATCGCGTGTGACGCGTATTTTGCACACGTGCTTTGTGATCTTGTAAGATTAATGTTAACTTTGATATGACTATCATCTCTTCGTGTCATATCTTTAGATATATTCCTTTTGTCGAATCATATCCTTCATTATGATCTATTAAATTTTATAAGGTACTCGGGTAATATTGTGCCATCGTCGTTTAAAAGTGTAATAAAACTATTGGCAACATTAATTATAATCATGTACCGATTTAGATGATATTCAAAGTTTTTTCATAATTTTATGTTCACGTTAAATAATTATAATTTTATACAAAATTTTCAAAAATGGATAGCAGTAAAAAATATGATAATCCAAGTCCACGTACGAAAGCTAATATATTTAGCATACTAATTTTTTGGTAAGTTATTTTTCTTATTTTTTTTTATCTTATCATATTTTATAACATATTGCATATATATATAGAAAAAAAGAGATATATTGTTAAGATTATATTAAATTTGCGATTAGTGAACTTGTTTTTTTTGTTATCATATCTGATAATGTTATTACATAAATATATGCATATATAAATATATTTATGTGTGTATGCGTATTCTTATTTTTAATAATATAACAATGTGGACCTAAAATTAAAGTTTTGTATTGTTGTAAAATATTAATAGTTTTATATATCTCTATACATGACAATTACATAATTTATGGAAACATGTAGTTACAACTTATATTTAATGATATGTTAATAAATACTGTAAAGTCATATCTATCCTGATTTGAATAATTACTATTTATTGTTGTTAGATTATTTTACTACAATATTATCATAACTATTTCCATAATATTGTAGCATCCATCATTTAGTTAATCATAATAATTATCAACAATTACTTGTGTGTCTTAAAATATGAATAATATTAACATTCGTTAAGCTAGATTTTAATTTATACATTGAATATAATTATTTGTTTATATTGTAGGTGGTTAAAACCATTATTTTTACATGGAAAAGATCACGATTTGGAAGTAAAAGACCTTTACAATGCACGGCCTACTGATATTAGTGAATTATTAGGAAATAAATTAGAAAGGTAAGTATACTTTTAAAGAGTATTACTTATGATAAGATTAATATTGTATATTAAATGTAACAAGCTTTCTCTAATAATAATAAATAATACTTACAAAAAAATACTCTCTATTATAAAGAGTATTGCAAATATTTTTAATACTAGATCAATTCTAATGATCTAAGATTCGTTAGAAAAGAAATTCAAAGTGGATTCAATTGAAAGATTAATGCAAAAGTATTTTATTAAAAAAAAAAATAAAAATAAATAAATAAATTTATCATTGATATCAAAAAGATCTTAGAATCAATCATGTTCTTAAGTTTTAATAGAAATATATTACATTCAATTTGAAAGATATAAATGTGTGTATATCTATAAAAAAAGAAAGAAAAAAACAATAGTAATTCTCTTTCGCCTACAATTTCTTATTATTTTATTTTTAAACGATTGAAAGAGAACTCGTCCGAATTAAAGAGAGAAGAACAACAAAATAAACTATTCAAATTGAATGAATTTATTATAGAAACTGGATGGAAGAATTAAAAACTGCAAAAGCGGCTGGTAGAAAACCAAAGTTATATACAGCTTTAAGAAAAACGTTTTTTTCATCGTTTGCTTTTTATGGTGGATGGACTTTGCTTATAAGTTTAGTTTCAAGGTAAATAGTATTTTATTACGAATGTAATTGATTATTACATTAAATATTTCAATGTAATTCATTTGAACTATCTTTTTTCTAGAGTTTTACAGCCGTATACATTAGGATTGTTGATATGGCATTTTGATCCTAGAGCAACATCAACTGTAACAGAAGCATATTTGTATGCTACTGCTGTTATAGTTTTGATAACGTTAACGGCATTAATTCATCACCATACTCAATTAGGTTCAATGGAAATTGGCATGAGAATGAGAGTAGCGTGTTCATCTCTAGTTTATAGAAAAGTAATATTTAATTGTATTTGTTTTTAAAAATGCAAAACATTTTGTTGTTGTTGCATCTAATGCATTAAGAATTATTTTAGATTTTACGATTATCTCAAGGTACTACTAGTACTACAACTTCGGGACAAATAATCAATTTATTATCAAACGATGTATCAAGATTCGAACAATTATTTATATATTTACATTACATTTGGATTATGCCATTGCAAGGTGCCTTAATCGCATTTTTAATTTGGGAAAGTGTCGGTATAGCTTCTTTAGCTGGTGTTTTTCTTATAACAATTCAAACAATTCCTGTTCAAGGTAGATAAGATTTTCATTTATATAACTGTCTGTCATTGATTACATAACAAAAAAAAAATATGTTTGCATAGTATATTAATTTAACTTTACTTCAGGATATATGAGCAAATGGACAGCTAGCTTAAGGCTAAAAATAGCGGTAAGAACCGATGAAAGAGTTCGTTTGATGTCGGAAATTATAAGAGGAATTCAAATAATAAAAATGTATACATGGGAGAAACCATTCGAAAAACTAGTTAGTCTATCAAGAAGGTAATCGTAATATTCTATAAATTTGAAGACATATATATGATCCAATTTGTATATTTTGTTTGAATTTAACTTCAAATATTTATATTTTAGTTATGAAATTGATGTACTTACATTAACATCGTACTTAAGGGGATTTACTTTAGCTACGTTTGTATTTACCGAGCGAACAACGTTGTACTTTACAATCATGGCATATGTACTTCTTGGAAACAATATATCTGCTGATAAAGTATTTTCAATGGCTCAGTACTTTAATATTCTACAAGCTACTATGGCTATATTTTATCCTATAGCAGTGTCGTCTGCTGCTGAAGCTTTAGTATCAATAAAAAGATTACAGGTGAAAACAATTTAAATTTGTTCAATATTGGTATAGTTCAAATAATAAACATTATAGATAAGATCCGTTAAAACTGTCATATCTTTTTATCTGCTTGTTTTATTAACGTAGAACTTTCTGCTATTGGAAGAGAATGTACCTTTAATTCACACATTGCCGAAAGATGAAAAAAACAATATTATTTTGAAAGACATTACTGCTTCATGGACTGATTCTACTATTGTAAACACTCTTCATGGTATTAATACTTATATGGGATTCGGCAAACTTTATGCTTTAGTTGGCCCAGTTGGGGCAGGAAAGGTACCACACCATCATTTTTATACATTATTTTATAATAAAATATTATTAACTACAACCTTTAATTAATCACTTTTTAATTGACTTTATGCAGAGTTCATTTCTTCAGTTAATTTTAGGAGAATTAAAAATATCTCATGGTCAAATATATGTTAAAGGCAGTATATCGTATGCAAGTCAAGAATCTTGGTTATTTTCTAGTACTGTGAGAAATAATATTTTATTTGGACAACCGTATGATCAAAAAAAATACCAAAAAGTAATCAAAGCGTGCGCTTTGCTCAAAGATTTTGAACAATTTCCACATGGTGATAAGACATTAGTTGGAGATAGAGGTGCCGCACTTAGTGGAGGACAACGTGCAAGAATTAATTTAGCTAGGTATATATAAATATATTAATATTATAATTATATTATATCTTCAACTTTGTCCTTTTTTCTTGAATTTCTTTTTTTTAGAGCAGTATACAGAGATGCTGATATATATCTTTTGGATGATCCTTTATCTGCAGTAGACGTACACGTTGGTAAACATTTATTTGATGAATGTATAAATGGATATTTGAAAAATAAAACGAGAATTCTCGCAACGCATCAAATACAGTACTTAAAAGACTGTGATCACATAATTATACTTAATAATGTAAGTGCAGTACTATTGTTTATTTGTTACAATAGAAATTCTAAATATATTTGATGTATGTCTACGCAATAGGGTTACATGGAGATTGAAGGAACGTTTGCAGATATTCAAACGAAGAAAATTGATTTTTTGAAATTATTAGTAAATGATGAATCAAAGGAAAAAGCATTAGTTAAAGAAAACAGTATAGAATCGGCCTCAGATGTGTTATCTAATACTAATACTGTAGAAAATGAAGATGATGTTGAACCTCAAGAAACAGAAGAATTAATGGCTAAAGGAAGCATATCTAAAGCTGTTTACTGGAAATATTTTAGAGCTGGAGCATCTATTTTTGTAATGATTGCCTTTTTTCTGTCAATGATATTGGGATTAATAGGAAGCAGCGGCAGCGATTATTGGGTTGCCTATTGGTAAGATTTTTTTAAAATTAATTAAAATTTTTATACTCCTAAAAATACTTATATTTGTAGACTTTTTTAATTGTAAATTTTGTTAATTTCTTATGATATAGGACAAATCAAGAAGAAATGAAATTAAAGCAAGAACAAAATCGTGCGTTCTTTGTTGATAATTCTAATAAATCTATATTAACAGATGGAGATGTAAATTCTACAGATTCTACGATCAGAAATGATACGATCAATAATAATATTACGCATATAGTTTTCAATGATTTTATAACGATGCAGAATCTAACAACTGAGAATACGGTTAGTAACGCGATTGTCAATTTGTCTTGAAAATTTTGAATATGTTGTGCTTTATGTATAAATCGTTAATTCATTTTTAGACAAACTTGGATGAAATGTTTACCGAATCATACGGCCTCGATGTTACTACCGCTTTATGGGTTTATGGAGGTTTAATCACCTTAAGCATAGTAATGACTTCTATGAGAAATCTCTTATTTTATAAAGCATGCATGACAGCTAGCAAAAATCTACATAATATGATGTTCTCCTGTTTACTTAAAGCACCTATGCTATTTTTTAATACAAATCCGTTTGGTAAGCGTCACCATATGAGTAACTAAAGAAAAACAAGTATTTAAAATAAAAAATTAAAATACGCTTACATCGCAGGTCGTATCCTCAATCGTTTTTCAAAGGATATCGGTGCTGTTGATGAAATCTTACCAAGAACTATGATAGAATCTATTCAGATTTTTACAGTAATGACAGGAATTTTAGCTCAAGTTATAATCATTAATTGGTGGTCTATTATTCCTATGCTCATAATGGGTTTTCTATGCTGGAAAATAAGAAATATTTATCTTGCAACTGCACAAAATTTGAAACGTCTTGAAGGCACTAGTAAGAAATCTAATCTTAAATTTGTATGATACGTCTAGAAAAAGAATATAAGATTCGATTTGGTCATCATTTAATTATTAAATATCTATCGTCATTTTTTTCAGCTAAAAGTCCAGTCTTCTCTCACGTCAATTCATCTTTAGTTGGATTAAGCACAATTCGTTCAACCAATGCACAAGAAATGTTATCTAAAGAATTTGATTCGCATCAAGATCTACACACTGGTGCATACTCTTTGTCAATTACAACTGCCACAACTTTCGGTCTGGCACTTGATGCAGTATCTGTTTTGTTTGTGGCTTTTGTTACATATAGTTTCATTATTTTGAATAATGGTAAATATCTTTTATAATAGGCACAATTAGAATAATACGTGTGTAGGTTAATTTATATGTTTACACTAATTGAATATTTTTACATACATTATCTCTTATATCAAAATTTCAGGCAATACTTTTGCTGGCAATGTAGGTCTAGCTATATCACAGGTTCTTATTTTATGTGGAATGTTACAACATGGTATGCGACAAACTGCAGAAGCGATAGCACAAATGACTAGTGTAGAAAGAGTATTACAATTTACACAGCTCGACGAAGAAGGTCCATTTACAAGTGATCCAAATAACAAACCATCACAGGAATGGCCCAATAAAGGCGAGATTAAGTTTGATCATGTGTACTTGCAATATTCTAATAGCGATCCACCAGTTTTGAAAAACTTAAATTTTATTATACAACCTGCAATGAAGGTATGCCTGTATTGATAAATAATGTATCTATCAATAAGGTAAACCTTACTTTTCCTAAACCTGATTCTTTTTTAGGTTGGCATAGTTGGACGTACTGGTGCTGGTAAATCTTCATTAATTTCAGCCTTATTTCGTCTGTCTGAATTCAATGGTGCAATTTACATAGATGGAATTAAAATTAATAAGATTGGCTTACACGATCTTCGAAATAAGATTTCTATTATTCCTCAAGATCCAGTACTTTTTTCTGCAACATTGCGAGACAATCTAGATCCCTTTAATAAACATGACGATGTTGCTTTATGGACTACACTGGAGGAAGTAGAATTAAAAAGTGCATTTATTTCTTTGGACCATCAAATTAGTGAAAGCGGTAGCAATCTTAGTGCAGGGCAAAGGCAGCTGCTTTGTCTTGCGCGTGCTATTATAGAAAATAATAAAATTTTAATTCTTGATGAAGCTACAGCGAATGTCGATCCTGCAACAGACACATTAATACAAAGTACAATTAGAAAAAAGTTTAAAAATTGCACAGTATTGACAATAGCTCATAGATTAAATACTATAATGGATAGCGATAGAATATTGTTGCTGGATCATGGTGAAATACTTGAATTTGATCATCCATATACTTTATTAAAGAACGAGCAAAGTTATTTTTATAAAATGGCTAAAGAAACTGGTGATCACATAATGGAACAATTTCAAATCATAAGCAAACAGGTAAAATTATACTATGGTTAAGTTTTCTGTTAATAATTTTGTTACTTTTTGTTGTCAAAATAATTTAAATTTTATATGTATATCATTTTTAGGCCTATGATAATAGTAAATTCGATATATCTACAGAAATGAAAATACAGGAGAATGGAAATTCTAATGGTATAAAACAGTAATTACTTGGTACAATGATGATATATGCATGTTTGTGTATTCTTTTATAATCAAAAATAAATAAAAATATGCACATATAAACCTTCATTCTATTATTTGTAGCCATTTAAGTTACTCAACACATTTATACTTATTAAGAATATTTACTTATTGAAAGATAATATTTTAGGATCTTACGTTATAAATAAGATGAGCATCATATTTTTCTTGAACATTCACAATAAATAATTTAGAGTCATTTATTCATATTAACTGTACTGCACCGCTTTTAACTAAATCAGCAATAAGATTATACTGGATAATGTGTTGGGAGCCGGCTTCCAAGTCTATTTCTTCATCCATTACACCGGGTAAAACAATACCAGTTATTTTTTCATTAGCTCTTAAAAAGACATGAGCTTGCATATTTGGTTTTGTGCTAATTTTTTCTATTTCAAATGCTTGAAAACTAGCAGGCATGTGTTGCAAAGCCACTGTTTTGAAAAGATGTTCAACACTACCCAAATATTCTTTAGCAAAGCGTACTTCTGCTGGAGTTAAGTAAGATTCATCTGGTTGTCTGGCAGCTTCCTCTGACAATATATGAATAGTATATCTCTCTATTTTTTCTAAACGCACTCTGAGATAACTAGAAATAAGGAATCGTATCCTATCAAGTTCCATTTTATGAACCCATAAACGAAGATCATCCCTTTCTAACCCCTTCACGTTTGCTTCCATATGACTTATCTGTTGCAACATGCAATCTACAAGATCAAATTTATGCGGAAGAATTTCGGGAGAAAATTTTTCATTAAGCCATGCATTTTCAATAGCTTCGAGTGCATTTTCTGCTGTTAAAACTTCCTCTATTTCGTTTTCTACCTGGGCACCATTTTCTTCGTTAATATCTTCCATTATCTTTTAAACACAATGTTATTTCTTCAATCGATGCTTCCACAAATGTAAATTCTATTAAATATTATCACTAATGTTTATATCACTTAATTAAACTTTAACAAACAGATTTATCGTGTGACAATTAATGATTATAAATACCGTTTAGTATTTAATTTATTTTTCCTATCTTGAAACTCGAAATAAGATTAAGATCGATTTATCGATTTTATCGATTTTTTCAATTTTTTCGATAGCGCACTAAAAATTTTTAAATTTGAAATGAATAGAAATCATAATTATATTTATTTCGTTAAATTAATTAATAATTATTATTGTAGTTATAACTGAAAGTCAAATATTTACATATTTAACATAGAAAATACATAGAACATTACTATAATCTCCTTATATGATGAAACCATATTAAAACGCAAACGTCAATAAAACATTTTATATACTTTAAGAAAAAAAATATTTAATAATTTAATAGGCGTTTTCATTCCTATGTTAATTATTATACAAAATAAAAAATACAAAAAAAAAGAAGAAGAAAAAGACATTATCACACGTTATTTATAATAGATCGTAAAATAAAGAAAGTTGCGTTATAATGTCACATAAGAGTTTATCCTTCTTACAATTCTCAAGGTACTCACGAAGAAATCGAAGTATACTTCAGTCTTTTGTGTTCTATTCTTGTTGTACCCTTGTAAGGTTTCTGTGTGCGACATTGAAGGTGCACCAAGGTATTCTTTAATTCCCTCTAACTTAATAAGTACTGTCTTAAGACTGTTTGGAGATTTAGATGAAGTAGTCATATAGAGAAGAAGCAGTAAGGGTACATATGGAGTCAAGTTGGGGTAACAGTGCATATTTAAACTGGACTCGTGCAGAGACAAGACGAGCCGCATCCATCAGTGGACCAAACAACATTCGGTGCCTTCTAAGTCCTCACAGCCCGCGGTGACCACCTTCCACTTCTAACATTCAGGGAGTACCTGGATTAGTTCGTTGTTTTTACGATTTTCTCCAAGTAGCCTGGTAAAGGTAAGAAATTAAGATATAAACTCAAATGTGTTATTCTTTCAAATAACACCATAATTATATTTTTTTGACTGTATATTTATAGTCCAACATGACCGTTATGTCGGGACCAAGTTACGCTGCATGGGCGAGTCATGGGTCGAAATTCGGCAACATGACCTTAGTAGATTCAGTTCCACCAGAAATGACACATTTAATTGATCCCCATTGGTATCAATTTCCACCAATAAACCCTATGTGGTATCCTATGGTTGGTTTCGTTACTGGTTTACTAGGTCTTATCTCTGTCATTGGTAATGGCATGGTGGTTTACATTTTCTGTTCAACCAAATCGTTACGTACTCCAAGCAACATGTTTGTCATTAACCTCGCCTTCTCTGATTTTCTCATGATGTTCACCATGTCTCCACCTGTGGTAAATATTATTTTACAATCAGACAACGGAACATTTTCAAAAAGAAATTTCTGAAAAATCTATTTTTCTGGATAGGTAATTAACAGCTACTATGAGACATGGGTATTTGGGCCTCTTATGTGCCAAATCTACGCACTTTTGGGTTCTCTGTTTGGATGTGGCTCCATATGGACAATGACTTTAATTGCATTCGATAGATATAACGTAATCGTCAAAGGTTTGTCAGGCAAACCACTCAGCATCAATGGAGCCCTCCTTCGAATCTTGGCTATATGGACATTCTCCATCTTTTGGACTATTGCACCTCTTTTCGGATGGGGCCGGTAATATCTTGTCATAGTATTATAGACTTTCTGTTTTTTTCCCTGTTTTAAAACTATATTGACTAATACGTGTCTTTGACAGATATGTACCTGAAGGAAATTTGACGGCCTGCGGCACTGATTATCTCAGCAAGGGAATAGAATTCACATCTTACATCTTCATATACAGCATATTTGTCTACTATCTGCCACTATTTATGATCATCTACAGCTACTACTTCATCATTCAAGCTGTCGCGGCACACGAAAAAAATATGCGAGAACAAGCTAAGAAAATGAACGTCGCATCTCTACGATCCTCTGAAAATGCTAATACTAGTGCCGAATGTAAACTGGCAAAGGTGTGTATATATATATATATATATTATATAATACACAAATTTCAAATAAATTCTTATATTACAATAATTTTGATATCTTTAGGTTGCGCTTATGACGATCTCCTTATGGTTCATGGCATGGACTCCTTACCTCGTCATCAATTATACAGGAATCCTTGACACTCAGAAGATCACACCTATTTTCACTATCTGGGGATCCATTTTCGCTAAAGCAAATGCTGTATATAATCCTATTGTCTACGGTATCAGGTAAATCACTTGTTCATCTAAAGAAGACAGCAAGAAATTAACATATTACATCGATGAAACTTTTATATTTATAACTATACGAACTGGTATATATCTGCTTTTTTTTAATGATTTCAGCCATCCTAAATACCGAGCTGCTCTCTTCCAAAGGTTCCCATCTTTGGCTTGTGCAAATGAACCGGCACCTGCTGCAGACGCAACATCTACTGTATCTGGTGTGACTACTGTCAATGATGGAGAAAAAGCCTCTGCATAAAGAATAAATAATAAAAAAGCTGCCATTTTCTAAATTTCTAAATTAACATTACAGAAATTAATATCAGAATAAAGAATATTTAATTATTTACCATCTCAGGCAGCAGTATTCGTGTGTTTTAAACAAGGACTTCAAAGTGATATATATATAAATATAATGTTAAAAAGAAGAGAAACAACAAGAATATGAACACACATAAACTTAAAGATTCAATTTAACATCTAGAAGGAGATAATTATAAAAAAAAACCTCTACCAATAACATACATGACATCACTGTTTACATAACATAAAATGAGCAAACATTAGATACATCTATGATTAATTTTACGATTCACATTTCACCACAATCTGAATCGTTTATAATTGATTAATAGATTGCATTGTGATTTTGTGCATTTTATAATATGGTGGTAAACATGGTCACTTTGGTATAGCAGGTATTGGCTCTATGGTTACAAGATTAGTCTGCGTGCCAAGACATAGCGATAGCGTCATATCTGTACTTAATTTTGTAAAACTAATATAATAAATCATGCAAGCAATATCATTTGTTTATTATTAATAAGCTAAAAATCACCGTTAAAACATACACCCTTTAATAATCTACTATACAAGTATAACTACTTTGTTTTCAAACGAAATATTTAAATAATAATTATGCGCTGAAGTATTTATTTCCATATAATAATTACTATTATTTCTTAATTAATACTTTTTTTACACGACCATCAATGAATTATATTAAATTTAGTTAATAACATATTAAATCCCTAAAAATTTAATTATATTGTTCCATTCTCTTTATGTGAAGAAAACTAAAGAATATTAATAATAAAGAAAAATTATGCTTTTCCACTCGCCGTTGCAGTAGAAGATGTTTCAGCATTTGCTGCAGCTACTCCAGCTGCTGCAGGCTCTTCTGTTGACCCACACACAAAACATGGTAGTTTCTCTTTTAACGCTGCTCTATATTTTGGATGACTATACAATATATACAAATGACAAAATTAATGAAGTATAAATTTTAATAAATTTTGTTTTGTTTAATACCTTATTCCATATACAATAGGATTATATATTGCATTGGCCTTAGCAAAGAGAGATCCCCAAATAGTGAAAAGTGGGCTGATTTTAGAGCCATTAAAAATACCCATATAATTTATTACTAAATATGGTGTCCAAGCCATAAACCATAATGATATTGTTGTTAACGCTACCTACAAATAATAGAACAATACAAACCATAATAATGAAAATCAAAAGATCAAATTAAATCTGTAAATACAATAGTACCTTTGCCAATTTTGCTTCAGCACTAGCAGATTGGTTATCGCCAGATCTTAATGAGGCAACATTCATTTTCTTAGCTTGTTCTTTCATAGCTTTTTCATGAGCTGCTACAGTCTATCAAATTAAATGAAGATTCTCAATAAAAGAATAAATATATAAATATTATAAATGAACACATAATTGGTATACTTACTGAAACAATAAAATAATAACTATAGATAATGGTAAACAATGGTAAATAATAAACAAACACCGAATACACCAGTATATAAGATTTTGATCCCCAATCTTTAGAAAGATAATCTGTACCACATGCTGTCATATTACCTTCCGGTACATACCTAATTTATAAAAACGTATAAATTTCTATTAAATAATTCCTAATAAAATTACAATGAAACTTTTTACCTATTCCATCCTACCATTGGCAAAATCGTCCATAATAATCCAAATAGCCATATAATGATAATTTGTAATAAAGCTCTTTTAATAGTTAGAGGTGTACCAGACATACCCTGCAAATATCCTAATTAATTTAATTATCCTAAATATTTGCCTTGTTAACAGAATTTTTCTATTAATACCTTCACTATAACATTATATCGATCTAAAGCAATAGCGGTCATTGTCCATATAGATGCGCATCCACATAGAGAACCAACCATAGCATAGATATCGCACATCAAGGTTCCTTAAAGTATAAAAAAAAAGCTTATTTATTTATTGCAATTATTTATATAATTAAATGACTAAATAAAAATAATAAATCTATTACCTAAGACCCAAGTTTCAAAATAGCAATTGATTACCATAGGTGGAGACATTATAATCATCATTATAAAGTCTGAGAAAGCCAAGTTTACTACGAGTAAATTACTAGGTGTTCTTAATGATCGTGTCATCAGGAATACATATACTACAACACCATTTCCAGACCATCCCAAAAGCCCAAGTACGATCATAACTAAGCCTAATATTTTATGCCACAATGGATCCAAAGGTGGGAATTGATACCTACGTAGAAGAAAGAGAAAATGATCAAATAGCTATTCTATTTTCAAATATATGAGTTAACCGAATTTATTTATATAAGAAGGATATAATGTACTAGTCACCAATGAGGATCAATTAAATGCAACATTTCTGGAGGTACTTTATCGGCAACTGTTTGATTAGTAAATCGCATCTTTTGATGTGCAAATTGAGGACCAATAGTAGTTAAGGCATGAATTATGATTTTATTTACTATTGTTTTATTTAATGCAGGTACAAAATTGCTGACATTTACTAGACTTGCTTCCATATTTCCTATAAATAAACATATACATATATTAATAATATATTACAAATAAAAATAATTTAAGGAATTGTATATTTAATACATACTTGCAGATATGAATTTAAAGATATTTTATTTATTGTTATATACTGATATGATGATAACTAGATAATAATTAGCACTAAATTTTGTAATAGTGAATATTTTAGCTTGAGCACAAGTAATGAACTGGTCACTGTCTCTTTTATATATCTACAAATATGGACGCATACACATATATTCAAAATGAAATAAAATTCTAATCCAATAAAATATTCAAATGAAAACTTCTACTATGATATTAAATACATTAAAAGATGTATATCTATAAATGTAACTATCAAGTAGTAGTAACTACGTCCTTGAAGTTCTGTCATTTAAGATTTGAAGGAAGCCTTACAATAAGATATATTTTATATAGATATAAAATATAAAATAAATAAAAAGAGAAATTGACAAGATAATTATATTTAATAAAGGCGAATAAAAAATGTGATAAAAACATAAGTAATACCGCGTATCTCAGTAGTATTAAGATTTTTTATTTGAAATGTCATTGTAACATTTAACATTACCTGTTAATACATTTTCGTATGTTTTATTTTTTACATTAAAAGTTTCAGCCTAACTGCCATAGTTACATAAAATAATATGTAGTTCTTTTATCGATTTGTAAAATAAGTTTTAGTTTATTTTGCTGCTCTAGAAACTTGACGAGTGTGTTGGCTGTAACCTTCCTTCAAAGCTTCTTCTAATTCTTGAGCCATATGTATTAAATTGACAGGATCTGTTTGAAGTAAAACATGCTCCATACTTTCATTATTTTTCAACGTCAAATCTAATGTAATCAATGGTGAAACTTGTTTTAACAATGTTCTTGAAGCGGTCTATAAATAATATCATTGTTATTATCTTTCTTCAATGATCTATGGGGTATTAAAGAAACTGATTATCACCTGTACTTCAAAACGCCATTCAAGATCATGATACTCTGGTATTTTAAAACCAGTAACTGATAGAATATTAGATATCTCTTTTTTCTTTGTAGTATAGAGTTTACTTAAAATTGTTTCATTTTCTTCAGAAAAACCTAATGCTATAATAGAATCTCGAAAGTCTTCGTTGCTTAGCTATAATATATGTAATGTATAATTATTATTCATTATAATGATATATAAAACAATGTTGTTATAATTCAAGTTATACCTTATGATTGCAACTCTCTAATAATAGATTGACAAGACCTTCTACTGAATTTTTAATAATATCCACTTCTACTTCAAGTTTTTCTATATTAAACATCACATATATTTGGTAAGATATAATAAAAGAATATTATTTTATTCTCAATAACACACACTGGATATAAAACATTTGTATATACTCACGAGCTGCCCCATGATACAATTTCATATTAGGACCTTTTTGTAAATAATCTAAAGCAAGTTTGCAAAAATCCTGCAACACTATAACATTGTTATAATGAATAAAAATAGATCATAGTTTAAGAGAATTAAAATCATACGTAATATCATTTGTAATACCTTGAGGTGTTTGTTCTATAAGAAATAACACATGTTTTTTATGATCTGGTCGCAATGTCAGTAACATTTTCTTTTATTAAAAAAATATATAATGTAAATACATCAAACGATCATTCATTAGAAGTGTTTACAATATTTTTTTTTATTTTTAATATCTTATATTATATAAATGCACTATGTAAAATATAATAGTTGTACTAATATCGCATAGAAATAATTATAAGCAATATTAATTCACGATCAATTAAAATTACAAAAATTAATAACAAGATGTAAATAAAAGTCTAACCTAACTATTCCTTAAATCTGTCATTGACGATTTCGAGTTCACTGCGTATATTCCACGCGCATCTCTAATGCATAAATCCAATATGGCGGATAATTCGCACCTCACCGACAAGGTACGGATAGGTACGAAGCCAGAAGATACTCGTGTCTTGTACATATATTATGACATTAAGGACAACAAGCTACAAACTAAAACATGGGAGATAAAGGTATCAGCTTTTCTAAAAAAAGAAGAAAAGGAGCAGAATAATATAGCTTAAGGTAGCTTGGGCACGCCGCTAATACTTATCAACGTAATAAAGATTATTAATGCTTTGTTAGGATAAGAGTTAAGTGGTATTATTATGCACGCTTAATGGACATTTCGAGCTTATTATGTTAATTAAATTAATGTTTAGTTAAATGCATTAAAATTATATTGTTCTACAAAATGAGTAACATATTATGGTAATGATCGAGAATCTATAAATGATCTTATTATATTACATGAGACTGCATCATTGTAATCATTATATCTATATAGTACTATCATTATCGCCTTATCCTTTTTCTATCTTTGCATGCACACATATGTTAGAATAACAGCTTGCAATTAGACTCTTTACAAATGTGTGTCTCGTATTGCTTTAGTATTTTCTATTTTGTAATACAAGGCATAAAATTCTATTGTTATAATTAATTTGCATATTTTTCAGAACATCATGTACACTTCAGCGGAGCGAGTGGTCTTGGGAAGGACAATAACATTATGATACAACCGCAACGACATGGGCATATAGATGTTCATCTTGGATTCTTACAGCTTCATCACAGGTTTACAAAACGATGCGATAAACTAAACGTAAATGTTGCAATCGTCACATAGATAATCGTACTGTTGTGTGTTTTGTTTTTTTCAATTATGAAAATCAGATTATACGCTTTACAAAGAAAACAAAGTTATCATATATCGTGCTTATGTGTCCTTTCAAGATATCACCTGGAGTTTTCTATACCATGGAATATTTGTGTTCATGGTGAACTTTTTGCGCCAGCTGTAGTTGCCAGTAACCAGCACAATCCAGACTGTCATATCATAGAATTAATGCAAGAGAAGGACGGCCTAAAGTAAATCAATATTTTTTTTCTTTTAATTTAAAATAGTATTTGTTTAATTAACAATTTACATTTTTAATTCTATTTATTTCGATTAAAGGTTAAAAATTGAATTGCTGGCGTATAAGGAACGAATCTTGAAGGAAGAAGTTGAAGTCATGTGTTGTAAATCTGGCACACCATTGAAAATACTCTTGAATGCAAGAGTATTAGGTAAAGACAAAGGAACCCCTTTATTAAGGAATGGTATACGTAGTGTCGCTGTAGAAGGAGTCGAAAAAGATGATACATCTGACTGAATTTACTAACTAATGCTTCTAAATAAAACACGCTTTTGTACGCTTTAACAAAATTGATTTTATAATCGTTTAGATTGAAAAGATCTAAGATAAAAGAGAAACGTATATATTATCAATTTTGAATAATATACAAGATAAACTATTTGTGCTTTCATCATCTTTTGATTTAAAGAATTTATCAATTATGACTTACAACTTAATATTTACACTTCTTTCTTTGGAATATAACTAATAACTTGAATGAGCTAGTATTTGTATTAAAATGGCAACGAAAATAGTATAGTTTCAATAGAGTCGTTTCTGACTCATTTATTATATCATTGTAACTTTATCATTAGTAATCTTATTATTATATGAGTATTATTTGTACTATGATTACGTTACAATATCTTTATTATAATAAGAAATTTTTATTTGGCATCTTATTTATTAACAAAATCACATGATTTTACAAACTTTATTTTAACAATAGCTGTAGCAATATATTTCTATCACTATATAATAAAAAACGAATTTTTACCTTGTGTATAAAGTATCATATTTTATTAAATACTTCATAATTACAACTTTGTGTCAAAAAATGAACACTACCCATTTATAAAACTAAATAGTTTCATAAATCTTCCTGCAGATAGGGCAAGTATTACGTGATCCCTATAACACGAATACATAGATGGGTATTGAATTATATATAAAATCTAGGATGGTTTGCGTATTTAATTAATATAAAGAAAAGTTGTTCAAACCATAAATATAAATGTATTTAGCGTAAAAAAAATATGGTATAGAGTCAATTATTTATTAAAGATTTAAGAAATAAATATATGGTATTCTTTGCATTTTTAAAGTTAAAACAAAAATTTACCGTTGGACCTTGCAATCTCCACGTATTAATACATTTTTCATGAAACGAATGATTACATGGAAGCATTTTACGTTGATCTGAAAGTTCTTGTATACAGATAATGCAGATAGTATTTTCATTCTGCAATTTCTTTGATCGTCTTCTCTGACGTTGATTTTGTTGTTCACTAGAAAAAGATACTAGCTTATGATTCATAAAAATGAAACATTCAAACTGTTTATCTTTTTCTCAGCAGCAAGTTATCTATTAATTTGAAATAATAATTGCTATATTAGTTAATATAATTATAAATAAAGAAAATACTTGTTTGATGATTGATCCAAGGAGGTGAAATAATTGGGTAACCTTCCAAAATCTGAACCATTGGAACCTCTAGAATTTCCATATCCATATGGCTCTTCTTGTGCTCCATTATTAGCAAAAATATAATATAATAAACTTGCTAAACCAACTGTAAGCGCTACTATAGCAACACCTTGAATTGCCATTTATAATGAGATAGATCAAACGTTAAGTAAATTGTAATTCATTGAATGACGTTATGAACAAGATTGTAACTAATATCATTTAATAATGTATAGAATATATTAAGTTAATTCTTTTTTTTATTAACACTACGTGTCAAATGTGACAGTTACGAAAGTAATATCACACAATTCTTGTTTATATCAACTTTCACAATGTATACTTTTAACATAGAAATTAAAGATACTTATATTCAAACAACATTCAGATCACTAATAACAGTTAAACGTCTATTTCTTTCTCAGTCTCTCCCCTATATTTAAGAAAAACATAACGCGGTAAAAAACAGCCAGCCATTTTAGTTCAGTGGGAAGAACGTAGCAGGTTGGCCAATAGTAGATAAAAATAAATAAATGTCTATATATACAGTGTACATCTATATAGTAAGTAAAGAAATAAATAGAAATTTATAGTAACACAATATATATTTCTATGTATTATGCAATTTCTCACGTATGTACTATTTTAATAACATACATATATAATTATTTCATTATAAAAATATGTTATTAATATTTGCATTCATTAAAAAATGTTGTCATTCAACTTAATTTATAAGTTGGCAAAACTATTGTAATTATTCTTACAGAATTGCCAATATTAAAATAAAAATAGTCCAAGTATAAAATAAGAAAAAGTATGTAAGAATTAATATCAAAATAATAAAATTGTTTCTTTGTTATACTAACAATAACTATTTGGAGTTTCGTAGAAGTTCATTTATTTAACTTGCTCAAATGTTGATATTATTTATAATTAGATATAATACATACATACATATATACATATTGTAGGAACTATAAAGATAAAAGAAAGGTAATTTAGATCAAAGGCACTTTTTATCGACATATACATAATTAAAAATATACATGTACAAAATTACACGCCGTTGTGATTAAATATATTTTGTGAAACTATGACAATTGTGTAAAGAAATTACGTTGCAAATTTGTAATAATTTAATAATGGATTTTCAGAGATCTATACATCATGCATCAATAATTACTAGACACTAGATAGAATCTAAATCATATGTATGTGAGATCACACTTAAGAAAAAATATAGGAAAAACTTGTAAACTGTTTAGAGATTTTTCTATCCACAGAGATTGTGTATGTATAAGTATATATATTTTCCGTAATATTTTAGAATTTAATTCATGTTCTATCATTCCAACAGGGATAACGAATCTCTAATGAAAGATTAAAAATCTGGAAGTATTCTATTTTGTCCTTTATCATTTAAAGAACTTTTTCCCTTTATACTTCGCAATCCAATGTAGAAAGAGAACGCATTGACGATCGAGTTACTGACGTTAAAGAAGATACTGAACGTTCGATGGACTGTGTCCTAGTTGTTTGTTGCTTTAGCAACATATGTCGAAGCGATTGAGCTTCCTCTCGAAGGGTTACAACCTGCGCTCGTAAAATAGCATTTTCGTGTTCTAACATTGTTGCTTTTAAAGCGATCTACGGAAAATATTCAATAATTGGAGAGATATATCTATGTTAGTTAACATCTAGGTCAATTGTACGCGATTGTTCGTGTAAATATTTCATTGGTACGCGAAAAATAAAGTTTGAGAAGCTCTGAAATAATAGTAGATGATACTGCTAAATAGATACAATTAAATCCTTACATGATCTTCGCGAATTTTTCTAGCGTCTCGTGATTTCTTTGCTGCCTGATTATTACGCTTACGCCTTTCGTAATATTTTTCATCTTTTTGATCATCCGGAATTGGTTTTTTCTCGCTTCGCGGTCGTCTATTTAGATTTTGTGTATTATTTTCGTTGATAAACTGTCGATTCATAATCGTATCTGCATTATAAATTATAAGAATCTCACTGTCTTATTGTAGAAATGAAAACCATTATAATTAGGCAGAAAATTCATATTATTTTATGCATCGCACGAATCTTCAGAATCTATGGCGTAATAAATAGAACTCTCACCTGTATCTATGACATCCGAATATCGTCGAGGTATATTTAACGATGGCATCAAGGGTGTCATAGTTGTAAAAAAAGGCGATTGTACAAGAAAACTGCTAGGAATTGGCAAAGTTCCGGAAAGAGAAGCAGTTGTTGTTAAGGATGGTGTTAACGACGATTCTGTAGGCGTAGAATTGGATAAAATATTTGATTCGTTAAATTTGCAACGCTGAGTAGGATACGGCTCGTATCTATATAGATCTGTAAATGCAAATAAAATAGCACATTGTTGTGTGTACAGAAGAATTTGAAGATACAGATATTTCATAAATGATGAACAGAAATAAGAACACGTGACCTGAAATTGAATACCGCGATTTAATATTTTTCGTAAGACCAAGGAAGCGCGTATCGATATATACAACGAAAAACTTTGTTAAAATTAAAACTTACATTTTTGTCTTATATTTTTATTTCAAAAATCATCCTTTTCTATGTTAATAAATAATAATTTTATTAATATTGTTGGTTGTCCATCATTTATGAATATCTTTTATTATATATCGACTACACAGAAACCTAATAAAAGATACTTTTATGATATTTTTTTTTATTTATAATCTACTCAAAACAAATCATTTAAAATACATACAAAAATCAATATACTCCTATTATTATTAATTTAGGAAGAGAGTTATCAATCGCCCCTGTGGCCTAATGGATAAGGCATCGGTCTCCTAAACCGGGGATTGTGGGTTCGAGTCCCACCAGGGGTAAAAACATTTTTTTTCGTCAATTTAATATTATTTATTGTCAAAAATTTTCCCTATATTGTTTACTATTATTAGTTTAATAATTCTATTGTTGTTCTTTTTAAAGGAACGTTTTTATTCAAATGATTTTCAGTGTAAACTAAAATCGAATGAATTTGTTTAAAAAGTTGGAAAATTGATCAACGTTTATTCGCATACTAGTTATGAATAAATTATAATCTAGCACATCATTGAACTTGCGTGTTTTCATAAAGTTTTAATCATACTTATACATGGCACACAAGAAGCGTCTTTTGCACGATTCGTATCATACCAGCAATGTGATCATCATTGATAAGGAATTTTAACAACAACGTTATATTTTATTATTCATTATATTTTCCATATGTTAAATTGTTTACTATTTCATCTAGGTATAAAGAAATACAGGTTGTTTCAGAACGAAATATTTTATATGGGTTCGATAGATATTCTTTGAGCACACATGAAAATAATAAAAATAATTCATATCTTTGAAGCATATCATTCTTTATACTCACCTGAATTTGGAGCAAGAAATTTGTAGCTTCTTAGTAGTTGTAATGTAGAAACTGCTCCGGTCATTGTATTTTCAGAACAAAATGTTTGCGTATGTATATGAGCCATTCTTTCAAAACTCGTTTGAATAGTTTCAGTTCATGCTGTCATCTTAAAAACGTATTTTTTCACATTTTTAATATTTTCAGAATATAGGTAATTCGATAATCTCATAAACGTATGCGGATAGATATGTACGTTGTCTCTTTTTAATACAATATCCAAGATCGTATAATATTAACTCATCACGAATCGATCATTATTATTCTCACAACAGTATCGTCGTTAAAAAGTTTCCTCGTATGTCATCCGTTTTATGGTAGTTATTATCTTTTATCTCTTTTTTTCTTCATTTTTCAAACGATTGACATATAATTTTCATTGGGTTTCAGATGTTCGAAAGTAAAGTTATATCACGAATTGACATATGAAAAAGGACTCTCTCAGAAGTTAAGTAAGCACTCAAGATACTCCAGTATAAAACAGTTTCAAGTTAACAGGTCGGTTATGATAGAGCTTTCTCGTATCACGTGCTTTGATGATTACAATCCTCCTATTCCAGGGAAACTTTCATTCGTCGACGGTACCTTTCTTCCCGCCCTAAAGAGCATGCGTACTTGTGAAGATCATATTCGTTCCGCCCATCGGGTCGTCATGGGTGACCAGCGACAATTGCTTTTCTAATGGTCAAGCTCGAAAGTGACCAATCGTCAAGCCGTCTGTTTTTGCAATTAATGATCATTCAAGAGTGAATATCGCGACCTTAATCTACAAGAAATGGGATTGGAGATAATAAGTTTACGATTAAGCTGATTTTATAATCGAATGAACAAATATTCAATTCGATTTACCATATTAAATATCAATTGAAGTTTATTTTTATGAAAACACATCTTACAATTAACAAGACAAATTATTTATATAATTATGTTTTAAACAGAACATTCGAGGAATTTAAATTCTAATCTTATCGTCCGATCATTCCTCTCCTTTTTATCCTGTTGGGTTTATTAAGATTTGATCTGAATAAAGGCATGTAAGCAAAAACAGAGACTTTCTTACGGTAGCTCATCCAACAGCACACATCACGAATGGGCGCTTTCAATGCTATGGGACAGCGAGCACCTGACACTTCCATGTTTCCTGCGAATGTTTCACATGTTCGTAATTATTATAAAGCAAATTAGACGGGTGTATAGACTGGTATTACTCCCCAAGTCGATCTCATAAAATATTGCACTTGTTCGGCTCTGTAATTACCTCTTGTCCAATGATTAATGGCCGAGAGATCGATGGACTCTGTTCAAGGGTTAAACGAAAAGAGGAGTAAAGTTCACGTTCTTTGACCTTTTCATATATTTAACTCTATTTTATTTTATTCTTTATACTTTTTAATATTAACAAATGTTAACTTTTTAAGGTCCTGTGCCAAGTCTGATTCGACATTGCAATTTGTTTCAACGAATTCCTATGATTCGAGCAAATAAGTCTCGTCAACATATTTGCAAAAAGATGAACTCGTTAGAACGTAGAAACTGTTAGCAAGTTGTTGATCAAATGACACCTACATAATATCGTAGCGCATTCGTCAGCAGACACGTTTGATGACATGGTCAGCGACAGGTGTTCGAGTTCGCATAAGACATCCAAGAAACAACCCCCGTAGCTTGTGCCAACGTAACGGTAATTAGTACTTAAACAGAGCAGCGCGATACAACGTCTACCTTCGACTTCCCCAGTCGATAATATCTAATAATAATCCCGAGGATGGGATCAGTCAAAGAAAGTTTATGCAGGAAAGAAAAAAAAGACAAAAAAGAAAAATGGACGTTTACGTGCTTTGCGAAAAAGGTCGATGCGTGTTAGCGGGTAACGATTGCTTCTACGATAGGCACACGTAATCGCGGCACCGTGAGATCAAGACCATATGACACTGGCCGCACATCACCCTTTCCCAACGAATTAGATGTCGCGATACTAAATAGCGTTATTTCATTTTCACCTAACTTATTAATTTATAATCTAAAAATATAAATACATATATATATATATATATATATATACATTTTTGTTTTCTATTTCTTACAATATAAAATTTGTATATATATAATAAGCCAAGGAGAGGCTACAAGTTAATCTTTTTCGACGCGTGATTTTCTAAATGTAGGTATATTACAAAAAGAGAGAAATCTTCAAAGGAAAGAAGAAAGAAAATGGCTACTAGGAGGAGGAGGAGGAGGAAGAGGAAAACGACGACGACGACGACATCCCTATTAAGCGTCCTCGCGTGCCTAGCCCCTTATTTACATCCCCTCTTCCCTCAAAGGGCACGGATTCCTTTCACCCTCGCACGAAGTCACGAATCGTGATCACCGTTGTTGTTTCACAACTTGGACGAAGTTATCTCATCAAGTCGTCACGAGGGCGCCTTGCCTCGTTTCCGGAAGTTCCGATTAAACTTTCTCTTACTTTAGCAACTATTTATATTCCAACTCTCGTCGTAACTATAACACCCATTTACTACTTATGGTTGCAATTCGGTGCATAGTCAGCTGCTATTCGTCAGTTAATTAACGATATCGCAAACGGATAATCGCTTACCTTTAAGTTTATTTTCTATAATTCAGAAATTGTATAACTAACTCGGGTACGCATACTTTGAAACTTCTTTCCTAGTTTAATATTCGTTCGCGTTAAAAATGTCGAATCATTTCCTGTGTTCTATATCCTGCTTATATTAGATATTAGAAATAATCACTCGTCACTTTCGTTTTTTGTTTTTTTTTTGTATCATTATAATTCACGATCGAACCGTGCCTGATAATGCTGTCACAATGAGGAACGATGTCATAGAAACAATTTTTCGTCTCATCTGTTAACAATTTATATTTGTAATCTACTATCTACTTGCGTAGTAGTAAGGACCGACAATTTATAACTGACAATGTACAGTAAAACTCGATTTCCTTGAATTCCATTTATCAAATCCGATTTATCGAAGCGCCAGGCTCTCGATAATAACTGAATATATAAATTATTAATCAGAAAGTAAAAATGGAAAAGATCTTATTTATTATTTAGTCTATATGATGATTTAGACTTTTTTCATATATATGATCCTTCTCTAATATATGCCAGAGAGACTCGGGACGAATAATTTTCTATATCTCGCAATAGAATCGAGTACTTGGGTTGCCGGTACATGTCCTAATACATATATACAATATATATTTCTGTATATATGTTTATACATAGTAAATATATACATATACATATATAATGTAATGAAAGACAAAACTCGTATTACTATACACTCTTACAGCATTGAAGAGTGAAAGATAAAAAATAGAAAGAGAGCTATATCCACAATTACTGCTATTTATTATTAATATTTGAAACGTACGCGTTTTCCCTTCCACATCTTGCACATTCGCTTTTCCTGCGTTCATTTCTTTGTGATCCGTGCAACGTTATTTAAATTATTAATCAATATTGTGTACCGTTTATAAATAACAGCCAACGTGAAAGAAAAATGAAAAGCAAAGTTCATACAACTTCACGTGACTTCGCTCATAATGACATATACGAAAAGGTAACCAGGGTGTTTGACCAAATTAATCACTAATTACAGTCTCTAATATTTACATTCGAAATTTCATATATAGTTAATTTTTAAATAAACACATAATGCGAGATTTAACGTATACTTGTTTAAATTGTTCTTATCATTTTATTCATATATTTTAATTACAATATATAAAATACAGTTACTATATTTAGTTTTCTTTTTCCAAATGATTTACACGAAGATCTTTATATACAAATTAAAACTGTAATGGATTATACTGAAAGATATAACCAAATTTCGCAGGAAGAGGAAGATGACGAAATAGATCAAGATGATCTAGAAGATAAAGAAGAAAAAAAAAATATAGAACAAGATGATCAAGAAGATCAAAAAGAAGAAGAAGAAGAAGAAGAAGAAGAAGAAGAAGAAGAAGTAAATGAAGAAGATGAGGATGATACGCCATCGATAAAAGTATTGATCTATTTTAATTCTAACTAATTGAATTTTATTTTGACTTTAATACATGATTAATATTTTTCTTTTCTTACTAGTTGCATTACAAATGCAATTATCCCGTAGAAAACTCCAGTAGATTTTCATTACGTGTGATGGAAGCGATGCGTTCATTACAAAAAAATGAAAATGTTTTGCCTATATCATCCAGGAAAGAAATAGTCGATTACATCGCGAAAAATTATAACAACGATGGAGACATTTATGCCCAGGTGCGAACCTCCTTAAAACAACTTTGTACTCAAGGGTTAGTTCGATGTGTAAATATATAAATACATATTGAATATAATTTTAAAAACATTTCGAAAATATTAAAATACTTTTATTTTAATTTTAAGATTCGTTGCAGAGGTATTGAACGATGAGTATCAACTGATAGGTCCCTTCAGTTTCACACGAATGTTAAAAAACTGCGAATGTCCTACGGATAGCGCAAAGATGCATATAAGTACACCAAAGTATACCAAAGTAAGAAGAACATTTCGTAAAAAAAAAAGACGTCAAGAGGATTCGCGATGTCGTTGTGAAAAAATACAAGAAAATCCTGAATTAGAAGATAAAGAATCAACGATACATTCGAGAGATAATATTTCTCCATCATTGCGAAAGAATTATTTCAATAATACGATTTTTGCAACACCTACGCGTGATTTTTGGAGATTTACAAGAAGAAACAATAATTCACGAAAGTATCCTGTAACTGAAGAGGCAAGAAAGCATAACAATCATAAAAGATTGATTTCTCACGAGGATCAACGTGAACAAACTGTTGATAACATTCAACAAGATATTAATGATCATCGTACATATCTTCGTAAGCACACACCGAAACGCGTGCGTAAAACAAACGATAATATTCCTGTAGCATCAGGAAGTGTACAAAGAAATCAGGAAACTAGTCTTGCACCAAATAATCAAATTAATAATAATTCTCAGGACAGTGTATTCCAGGAAATAGAAAACTCGATCTCGGAAAAATCGAAATCGC